GGAGAGTGACCATCTGTGCATCTCTCTCAATAAAAATATTGGAAAACCCAAGGTCAGAACCATCTTGCTGAGGCCTTCTCTATAAGCTCTAGTTTCCATCACTTCCAGTTCAGATTTGCCAACTCTGATTGCTCATTCAAAGAGAGAAATATAAATAAAATAATTTACATTTATTTAATTCATTTCTTTTTATTATCAAACAACAATGTGATGATCTCATACAGTCTCACTTACAGGGAAATTAATAATTCAGACGATTGAAATAAAAGGTGACAGCCTCTTATCCCACAACCAAATGGCCCCATTCCTAATACTTGTGCATCTATATAAATAGTAAATAAATAAATAATATCTGAAAAATCGTTCACATATCATTCCAAGGGACACCCAGGGTCTGTTTGGTTCATGGTTCGAATTAAAATCTCCTAGAATCAAAACCGGAATGGCATATTCCCCTACCTGAAATGGGGTTTGGGAGGTTTTTAGTCACTTTTTTTTTTGTTTAAACCGACTGGAATGGAATTATCATTTCCAGGGGATGGGCAGGAACCAGGAATGGCTATTCTTTCAAAAGAGAAAATTCAATTTCACCTAGAATGGGAATGGAATTCCAATTCTGCCCAATCAAATGAATGGAATTGAAATGGGTCAATCCAATTCCAATTCCAGACCCTATTCCCACAAACCAAATGGACCCTTAGATCTCTTTTCATCATGGAAATAAACAAGTCAATCTAGAAGTAAGAATATAATTTCTGACCTTGTATTTATGGATTGTTCAAGAAAAGGGGCTGCCTGCCAATATTTTGGAGCCATTAGAGCTAGACCAGCTTAAAAAATAGGGGAAATTTCACTTTAGTACCCTTAACTTTGGGGTAGTGTCAGGTTAGTACCGGAACTTTCAAATGTGCCACTACAGTACCTAAACTTTTAAAAAATATCAAGTTGGTTCCTATCATTAATCAACTGTCAGTTATCTGTTAAAAATATCAAAACTACCCTTCAAAAGAAGACACTGTTTATTGTCTTCTACCTTGAGACTGAACCGGTTATCTTCAAAGAAAAAGAGAGAAAAAAACATGAAATATGATAGAGAGAAACAACAACTGAAAGCAAAGAAATAATTAGACGAATGTGTTTCGGATTTAAAGGTAGAAGACAATGACTTCATTAGTTTAGAACCTCAAATGCCTCAATTAGTTCAGTCTCAAGGTAGAAGACAATGGACAGTGTCTTCTTTTGAATAGTAGTTTTGACATTTTCAACAGATAACTGATGGTCGATTAACGGCAGGGACCAACTTAACACTTTTTGAAAGTTTAAGTACTACAATAACACAATTGAAAGTTCAGGTACTAACTTGACATTACCCCCAAAATTCAGGATACTGAAGTGCAATTTTCCCTAAAAAATAAAACTAACGACGTAGTTGAATCTTTCAGAAACTTACAATGAGATCAAGTGTTGAACCATCAATCATGATCACCATGAGGAATTGAGGATGCAGATATCAAGTGATCATCACTCTTGGAATCACCACAATGTCGTCATCTACTGTGTCCTCATTAGCCGGTGCATGTGGGACCCGATACTGGTCATGGGCTTTAGGGCAAGCAGTGGTGAAATCATAGACAAGTCTTTCTTTGCGTATGGACCTTTCTAAAGCGTCCAATCCATGGCTCCAGATCATCACTTAAGCAATCTGCTCTGGCATGGGGGCCCAGACCTGAGCCCTCAATGATGGTTATCCATTATTTTAGTTCTTAGAATTCACGCAACTAGAGTTCACATGGGCCAAAGCTGTAGACCCATGCCTTTGAGGATCCACAGCCAGAGTTCCATTCATCCTCTTAGTCACTCGGAATCTGCTACTCACAAGTTGTTCTCACATACCTACAAAGAACATGACAATCGTGTATTTGAAACATCTTTTCAAGAATGACAAGAGAGATATTCGTATTGTGCTGCTGTAATATCTTTTGGGTAGAAATGCAGGAACAGCTCGTGGGTGGCAGATCCGAGCCCCCAATCCGCTGCTGTAATGTCTTGCTCAGTTAGATTTTGATATTATTAAGCCATGATTCGAGACCCAATTATAGCTTGGGCTATCCCAAAAGATGTATTGGCAGCATGAATTGTTAAAGATCCAATAAGTCTAGGGAGAATAACTGTTCAGTCCATCTCAGAATTCTTAGTCTTATCATACAGGTGGGATGAATCCTGGCCGTGGATTGATATCAAATTCATCCACGGACAAGATGTGATTTATAGGGAGGTGGGGGCTACTAGTAGACTATGGGGGGCCGTAATTTCAGAATTCTGCAGTGGGCTGCAGTGTACTTCTCCGATAAGTTTAATATTGATTCCTTTAGATGTATCAATTGGACAAATACATCCATAGTGACTAGGATGGATATCTCTATCCGAAAACTAGCAGTTCACCCGTCAAACCTCCATGATTCAAATAACTCAATTTTCGCCTTTGAACTATTTGTGTTAATGGATTAGTTCGATCCAAAACTTGAGATAAGAGGTGTAGGCTGAAAAAGTATTCATAAGTGGTTGTCAATGGAGTTGAAATTGTTCAATTCTGAGGAATTGGTATCAATTTATGCTTAATTTCTCAAATGGTCCAGCCCATTTCCATTAACGCGTTTAGAGATAATTATGTGGCTCTCCCTCTGTTTTTTCTTTTTTAATTTGTCAGTTTTTGTTACTTATGAATGGGCTCTCCAACTAGGTCACCTAGTAAAAGAAGGGAAATTAAAAAGAAATTATAATATTTAAGTTTATTGAAAAGAAAAGGTCTAATGGAATACTGTATTGTCCTTTATCTAACGGATCATCCAGTTAACGTGAAATCCGGGAAATCAGCTAGTCACCTACCAGAGCTAAAGGCTCTGAGCTGTTCTGTTATGTCTAGATTCACATGTTAAAAAAGGACTGTGGGTATCAAGGTTTAAAAAACCGACCAGAAACTGAAACCATTTTGGCCATCCGTTTTTGAGCTGACGGTTTGACTATCTGGTTTGAATGAATGATCTATTTCAATAAAAAAATAAATAAATAACAGTCAAAACCGTTGAGCGAATCAACGGTTTGATCACACGGGTCAATAAGTCGCTGCTAATTCAACGGTTTTAGACCAGGGACTGGGTCTGAAGGAAAACAAGATCGATTGCATTGACGGTTACCAGGCCAAACGGTCCGACTGACTGGGTCAACGGCGGTTTGAAAACATTGGTGGATATGCTAGAAACAAGATGTGTAATATATGGCAGGATCTGATACAAATACAAACTTACAATGTGGGTTACGTTAGCCAACCACATTACAACAAATCACCCAAATCATTTGAACATGACAATGCAGATGACTCCTAAATGGTTGTTCCAAAAGGTTGAAACACCATTAATGGAATGGTCTCAAAGAGATTCTTTAACCAAGAAGTAGTTTTCGTACTCTTTCGTCAGAATCATTGGGATGGTGTTTGGTATCGAGCTGTTTTCTCTAGAGAAACCGTCATGTAGGCGTTTCAAAAGTGGTTGTTGCAATTCTTGATCTCGATTTCTATGAAAGTCACTTTTCCAGAGATCGTCATTCATGCTTAGTGAAAGCGTTTTCTCCCACATGGTGACTATGTGTCATGAAATGGGAATAAACAGAAATAAACAATAAAACTTGAGTGTTTGCGCCCGGTTAAACTTTTCTCCAGATTTCCCAAGTGAAACACCACCTATATCTAGCTATTTAGTCTTTATCTATAGGATTTCTACATCGATCACTACAGCTTTACATCAGACTCATTAATTATATCTAGCTTTTGTTTCCAATTCTTTTCTCTCTTTGGTTCTCTCAATCATTTGAAGAAAGCTCTAATTCCTATATAGCAACTAAGGCTGCCGGAAAGAAGAAATTGCACATGCTTGGTCTTGGGAGGGTGGCTCCGAAGGAAATTATCAAGTATCAGAAGGGCACCGAGCTTTTGATTTGAAAGCGATTCCATTCCAAATACTTGTTCTAAGATCGTTCAGGACTAAAAAGACCGACCTGCGGTTCCAAAGCAGCGTAATTGCTGCCTTGCATGGAGGCTGCGGAGTCTTGTATGGCTGGGTTGTTTGAAGGGGGAGAAGCTCCTCTCTCTCTCTCTCTCTCTCTCTCTCTCTACTTTTCTAATATTTGAGACTCCAGTCTGGGTAAAATAAGGGAGTGCTCTACAACGTGAATTGTCCTTCTTGTTGCTGATTTCAAAAATAAATCAAAACCATCTGGTTTAATAACAGATGGCTGGTTGGTAATATTTGTTGTTTCATTCTGTGTAGAAGAAATTTTCAAGTGCTTTGTCGATTTAGTTGTCTGATGATCTCAAAAGAAGCCGATTAAAGTGGCCTACAAAAGTATCAGTTCTTTTACTCAAGTTTCAGAGTATCAGATTGGCCGATACATATCGTATTGATACTTTGAACCTTTCTTTTACTAGAATTCAGAAGTAAACACATCAGTGGATTTATTTTCTAGGAATCGGAGTATGCTCCTCACAGAAACACCTCACACCAAACTCACAGCCCCATCCCACCGTGTATAACAATATAAAGTATAGGAGATGTTCCCGATATACAGCTGGGATGCATTGTGAGGTTGGAGTGAGGAGCATATCCGAGCTCGTTTTCTATTAGGCTGATATTTCTCTTCCTTCATGGCCTGTAGAAAAAGGACAAAAGAAACCAACCCATCCCAATAATAATATAAACTCGCACAAGATAGGTATTCAGATTTTCTCCTATTTGACAATACATTAGCCTTGTCCTTTATTACGAAAATCTAGAAAAAAAATATATAAATAAAAAAAAAAGATAGAGATCGAAGATGAGCAGGATATAAAATAAAGATAATGAACTTGATGAGTATGCTCACCTATGAAAAAACCCTAAGATCATAGCATTTTCATCAACAAGAAAAGCCATGAGGAAAGAAAATAAAATTAGACCTGCCAACAAAGCTTGTCAATGTGTGAACCATTTACTTAAGCCTTTTAGAAAGGACAAAAGACTTTGCAGCAGGACTCCTGGCTCGTCAAAGAAACCTGATGGTCTTTTGTTCAATTGTCATGGTTACACATAAAACAGGGCCAAAATGATACCATCATGTCCAATTCTTGAATCCTTTGTAGTGGTAAAGAATAGGGAAAAAAAGAACCCCCAGAAAAAAAAAATGATATATACTACATGGAAGCATTTAGAAGGGAGAAATTATAACTCCTTACAAGTTACAACATTGCAGGAATGGATGATTATGTAAACCAATTTGTATAATGGGGCCAACCAGCTGCAGAAATGCAATCAGAACCAAATGAATCAAAATTTGATATTCCTCATTTCACATGCAGCAACTTTTCTTCAATCCCCCTTAACAGACTGCAAGTTGATTTTAAGAAGTATCATATCTGTCAAATGTTCTTTCTGGAGCATTGCGACTCCAACTGAAATCTCTCATCATCTCTTGTTAACTCATTTCACAACTTCCATGCTGCTATATCAATTGTGCAAAACCTGTTCTCAAGCACCACTATACCAGACTCTTTGCAACATTTTTGTGGCCAAACCAAGCATGACAGCCAGCTAGAAATGTAAAGGTTCCTATACTCTTGGTAAATATTCGAGTCAATGGGAGCACACAAAAAACAGTGATGCTCCCGAGAATACTGGTAGAACTAGTGGCATCATGCTTATAGGTAATTCAACCACTGGGACCACTTCCCAATCCTCAACTCAGATAAGCAAATCACCACCTAACCAGACATGTTATCTTTACACATCATAACTTCAGGATGATAGGCAGGATTACGGACCCCTAATAACTCATTAAGCACTTCCAAATCCATCACCTTGCTGCTTGTACTAGACTCACCATCCACCACCCCCTCTTCTAACTTAGAATCCACAATTCTAGTAGAAACTCCAACCTTGCCACGGGCCCGCCGGGAAGGTCTTGATATTGAGTTTTCATGGGACAGAGCCTCCGGTCCCCTCCTCCTCCGCTTAGTGTTAAAGAAACCACAAGCAAGAGCTTCCAATGCTCGGGTGGTCAATGGCCGGTTTCTTGTGCTGTGCCTCCTAGCATTTGCAATAGGTTGCTCTTCTGCTATAGCAACACTTTTAAGTCTTAAAGCCTCTGACTCCTCTGTGTGCTGCCTTTCAGATGGGATGGATGACCCCTTTGCACTTGGGTCATCTTGGCTGTCTGCCACCTCCATGAAGGATTCATCAGTTTCAAAATCTGGTGGGACATGAGGTAGGTTCAGGTCAATCAAAGCACGGGTTTGAGGTTTCTCATGAGGAAGCTCTGTGCCAAAAAAGTTCTGGCTAACAATGCCTTCATTGTGCTCAATTGGGCTCTCTTTAGCTGAAGAACTAGTGGATGAAGCCTTATCTAAAGACATGCCCACTTGAGAAACCATGTTTTCACTTGCATCTGGTGAGTCTAACTGACGGTGAGGCTCATCTTGTTTTTGTCCTGGACCAATAGAGTAATTGTTTGTGGTGCGATTACAAGCAGTTAACCTTCGCTGTTTTGTTATGGGAGCTAAATAGTTGGATTGGCCAGATTTTGTTTTCCTGCTGATTTGACACTTCCTCTGATTCTTGTCATTAGATGTATGGACAGATGGATCTTTGTGATTGTTCATCGGGACATTAACAGGATCTGTTTTAGCTTTTAGTGTCTCTTGCATTGCAAGACCAACTGCACAATCTGATAATTCAGACTGTATTACCTTGTCAGATATACATGTTTGATTGGAAATATTAGTATCCCTTTGATCATTTGACAATCTATCAGCAGAATCTGGCTCATCTGTTGGCTCATCAGAGGTATCCCTATCAGTTTCTCTTGAAGGACTTATGGATGTGGAACTATTAGTAGTGTCAACTGGTAAATTTCTTAGTTCTCTTACCTTGCATTGTCCTTCTCCATGAACCAAGCTGGTATCCACAACTGTAAACTTCATTAGATCTGAATTACAATTTGAAAGTCGTGGTCGAAGATAACAATGACGTTGCCGATTGGACAGACCATCGTGGTCCAATGTTTCCCATCCATATTCTTCTTTGTCACCACTACCTCTAGCTGCTTCAGCACCAAGCTCAAGAAGCCTTGGATCAGATGCAACTTTGCTCAAGACATCACTAACAGAATCGAAGTAATGGTTTCCCTTAACAAGTTTCCTCCTTGAGAACTTCTTCACACCAGGTACAAGAAACACCAACAAATTCTTGGAGACAGAAAAACCATGATTCTTAGGCTGCTCAGAGTGCCAGCCCCTTGCTAGCAAGCGGGGCCAAACAGCTTCCCAGAAGAGATCATTAGATCGAGCTTTGCTTAACCTGAAGTCTCCAGTTAGGAACTTGATGATGTCCTTGGATGTAAGAGAGGAGCATGCCTTACCAATTGGTATTTCAGCACGAGAAGAAATAACCTGACTGGTCCTTAAAGGCTCCATGATGATGCCAGTGAGATCTTGCTTCCCTTTACCAACTCCTACAGCTTCAATAAGAACATTCATGCTGACTGTATCTTTTAAAGTGGAGATGTATTCTTCTAATGAAAATTTCCCCTCTCCAAATGTCTTAAAGACCTGCCAATTGGTAAACATTAATGTGGAGACGAGAGAACAATGCCTTTGTTAAACAGATGAAAAGAATCTTTAAAAGTGCAAGCCTAACAGTTATTTAACAAAAGCAACCCTTGCTTATAAGTTTGCACAGATATACATTTAGAAAGGTAAAGTACATTATATTTAGATTGTAAAGATGGATGTACATGGGGTGAGAAGATCCCAGTCAGTGATTTAAAAGGCACATTTTAGGGTACTATGCACCTCGCCTAGGTCCTAGGCGCATGCCTGGTGCACTTGATGTGCCTTGCGCCTCAGCCCAGGCGTGTGCCTTTTTTTTTATCAATAACCACAGAATTCATTAATATTGGAAAAAAAGTTACAGGGAAGAGGAGCTAAAGAATCTTAACTCCCCAGAACAGAAATACATCTGAATTAAACACTCAAAACCTTACAATTGAGCCCAAAACCCAGAATTTC